GTTTCAGTTTTAATGACTGATAGATTTTAAGTATTATTTTATAAATTTTGTAATAATAAGTTCCCGCGCAAAGCGCGAGAAATTCTACTAGTAATAATAATATAATGAAAACACTATTTCAAATATAACACAAAAAGAATAATCTTAAATAGGAGTTTTATAAAATAAAAATGTATTAATTTATATGGACAAAAATAAAGGAATCTTTAAAGAAAACATAAATAGTTCTCTGCACAATAGTATTATTTTAAAATATAGGAAGTAATAACCAAGATCTATCTTGATTATGATTACATTAATGTATAGAAATGATCTATTATCACCAAAAATTATAATTAAATGATAAATACTTCTCCATTCTTAAATATCTTGAATTCGAATACTAAATATGAGTCACGTTTGATAAAAAAGTTCTTTATCCCCAAAATGGAAGTCTTTAATATAAATTCAGATTAATTCGACATCCAAAACATATACTCAATTAGTGGAACCCCCAAAATGATAAGCACATTAAGCTAGCCTCGATTATGAAGACCGCCTTTAATAGGAATCTCTTACTTCAAAGTAAATTTTTTTAATGCGAATCCGAATTATTTCACTTTTGACACTCTTCAACCCAAATTTGAATTAATAACCCTAAAATTAAGTACCACATTAATTAGTACCCCCGAACAAAAGGAATTAATTACTACCCCTCTGTTCCTAATTACTTGTCCACTTTTGAATTGACATACCTATTAAGAAAATAATTAATGACATAGTGAATTTATCATATTACCCCTATTAATTATGGAGTGGATGAAAAGTTTTACATTTTTCAAAATAATTAGTCATTTAATGAGAATATAATAGGTAAAAAGAATTTATACTTTCTTGATTTGTCAAAATTGACAAATAATTAGGAATAACTATAAAAAGAAAAAGTGGACAACTAATTAGGAAGGGAGTGAGTATTTTTTTAGATCTTGTCTGTCTCGTGTATCATATGACCTATAGTACATGCTTACTCCTAAATTATTGTTTTGCAGATAGCAAGTTGAAGCTCCTATTTGATCTCAACATCAAGCAAGTAAACCGGTGGTGCTCATTCCATGCACGTCTTCTTCTTCTCCTTCTTGTATATTCCCACCACATTTCTGTAAACTACTATTCACAAATTAGTTCAAGACACCATTTCTATCCCTTTTTTTTCAATCACAAAAAGGTCCAATATGGAGCAAAATGGATATTGATAGTTGTTTATGCCTATTTGGTAAGTTCCCCATCGACCCATTTGCAAATCTTGGATTTATTCTCTGACCCTTTTCATTTTTTCTTGTGTTCCAACAATCTTGGAATCTGTGGCAGAGTGTTTTATGTGTATTTCTTTCATTTTTTGAGCAATTGAAATTACAAGTATGAGTACAAAATTTGATCCCTTTTAAGCTATGTATTGAAAGTCAACTTTTCAATTGTGTATTGTGGTTGATGACTGAGTACAAAATTTGCTTTCTTTTAAAGCTATATTTTGGAAGTCAATTTTTCAATGGGTATTGGAGCTGATGGATGGGTGCTTTGTAATTGAATTTTGGATATTTGGGGTGTAGAGTAGAGATGTTCTAGTTTTGTTCACTGTCTTTTCGCCTAAATCTGTGTTTCCATGTCTATTAATCATTGCTTTACTTGAGTCTATCGTAACATTATCTCTACTATTTGCAAGGTAGGGGTAAGGTGCGTGTACACCCTAGATCCCACTGGTGGGATTACACTAGGTATGTTGTTGTTGTTTGTTATTTATGTCTATTTATGGGTAGTAGCTTAAGTGTTGCTAATTCTTGAGTATTGCATTTTCTGATATAAAGGTACACTTGAAGAAAGTACTTTCTTTTTTTGTATTTGGTGACCGTGCTCTTCTTGTCCATATAAATGAGTTCCATTCTAGATTCATCTTTTGTTTTTCTTTCTTGATGTACTGTTTTTCTCTTACCCTTTACGTTTTCCTTGTGTTTCAACAACTTTGGAATCAGTGGCAGAATGTTTTTGTGTATTTCTTACCTTTTTGAGCAACTGAAATTAGAAGCTGAGCACAAAATTTCCTTCCCTTTTTAGCTATATATTGGAAGTCAACTTCAAATGTGTATTGTGGCTGATGGGATTTGGGTGTAGATATGTCCTAGTTTTCTTCACTTTCTTTTCCCCTAAATTTATCTTTGGATGTCTATTAATCATTGAAGTAAGGTATGGGCCCATGGCTAATAGCTTAAGTGTTCCTAATTCTTGAGAATTGCATTTTCTGATACCTGGAGAAAGTACTTTCTTTTTCTGTATTTGGTGACCATGCTCTTACGGACATGTAGTCCATATAAGTGAATTATTTAGGTGTCTATTAATCATTGAAGTAAGCTATGGGCCCATGTCTAATAGCTTAAGTATTCCAAATTCTAGAGGATTGCATTTTCTGATGAAAAGGGACCTTAAAAGAAGCTTTTTTTTGTACTATCTGACCAAGCTCTTGTACTCCATATAAATGAATTCCCATTTTGGGTTATCATAACTTTCTTTTATTCTTGTATTCTCTGTAAAGACTCTATTTTTATTCGTTACGTGGAAGAACTTTATAGAAGTTTGGCATTTATGTAGTAGATAGGAGAGACCGTAATTGCAGTGATTATTGAACAAAGTTAACCATGGTTCTTGTAGCACTTTTTAAGTTTTGTATCTCCTTGAATTCTGCGTAGTAACTTCTTTATATTCTGACTCCCCTTACTAAAAATCCTGGCCCCATCACTGCCTAGATTAGTGTATGAATGGTATTGGAAGTCTTTGGGTTGTCATGCACCTTTCACACAATTAGGACCACATGAAGGAAAAATGACGAACCAGAGAGTTCTGGTGCCCTGAAAAAAGTGCAGTTTAGTTGTGAATTCAGATTGTTTAATTTCTTAGTGTTTGATCACCAGCAAGTCTTCTCCAGAATTAGGAAGGATAATGCATTGCAGCATTTCTGTTTTTAGAAACTAGTGGAGTTGACGTTATTACAAGCATTTGCGTCGTAGAAATGGAACAAAATCTTCCAAAGCCAAAATATAATTAAAGGCAAGATTAAGGAAAAATGATAAATGTGCTGATTAATGTCATACTTCTCTTTTCTATTTGGATCATGTCTAACTCCTTTTGTTGGAGAATTTTGCTTTATTAAACGCCATGCGAGTGTCACTTGGGTTCCAATAGTTCCTACAAACAACATGATTGAGAGAACTGATTACAGAAAGATTTATGGAGATATTCTAATTTTTAAACTATTGGTATACTTACTACACAACTCGTATCTTAGGAGTAATTGTTAAGGATGGAAAATAAGTTGCTGGCAATACCCTGAATTTAAGTCTAAACAAGGAAAGTGAGGTACTGATATGATCACGAGCGGAGCTTCTAACCTATAGGGGAGAATTTAAGGGAGAAGACACTTGAGGTGCACTAGAATTGCCATGTTGTCTGGGAGCAACTTATGTGCTGTCAATAAGGCAAATATGATTGCCAATGCCATTTCAGGAAATGTTAAATTGGGTGATATTGTGCTGGCATCATTCTTGGAGGGTTACAGATCTCTACTTCAAATGTCCAATACACGTGAACCTTAATGTTAGCATGAATGGTAGAGTCAATTGGTCAAGCACTCATTTTCACTGTTTTCCTATGCATGGAACTTGGCTGTTTTGGGCTAGATCGTAGTTGTAATTGAACAAGAACTCGGAATAATTGACAGAATTATGGCATTTATCTTTCACAAGTTGATTGTTTTGCTCATCACTCCAATGATTTGATGTTGAGACACATGTAATGTTAGTCCTAGGCCCAAGGACCCTTGATGAAAAAGTCAACACTGGTATTTGCCTTTAATATTGGTGGGTATCTTAGCTCAGCACCGGCATAAGCCACTGTAGATATCTACGGGTGTGAGCTGTGGCCTGGGCTATCTTATGCCTCTTCACTCTTTGGGTTAGAAGAGGCGAAAAATTTCATTAAGTAAAAGATTAAGTTAAGCCATGTGGTCCTTTAATTAAATTGTTGTGTTATCTTGAGATATAAGCTTGTAAGCTTCGTCCCAGAAAGCTACTGGTGTCATTTGTTACAAAGCCCTTGTATATTTTAATTTCTATCTACACTTCTCTCTTTCACAATGTCTAATGTCATCAACAATAACATACCCAGTGAGGTCTGGTGAGGGTAGGATGTACACAAACCTTATACCACAATTTCATCATACACTTGAATTGATTAATGAAATGTTGAGGAAGGCAAATTCATGCTCGTCTCTGTAAAAGATTAAGTTTAGCCATGTGGTCCTTTAGTTAAATTGTTGTGTTATCTTGAGATATAAGCTTGTAAGCTTCGTCCCAGAAAGCTACTGGTGTCATTTGTTACAAAGCCCTTGTATATTTTAATTTCTATCTGCACTTCTCTCTTTCACAATGTCTAATGTCATCAACAATAACATACCCAGTGAGGTCTGGTGAGGGTAGGATGTACACAGACCTTATACCACAATTTCATCATACACTTGAATTGATTAATGAAATGTTGAGGAAGGCAAATTCATGCTCGTCTCTGTTGGTGCCAAAATGCTTGCTCTTGTACAATTAACTTAGAAATTAATCTGAGTGATCTAATGGCTTTCTTATGTAATTGGACATGCTTTATTTAATAATATTAAAACTTCATAATGCACATGTTTATGCTACATCTGTCCCCTTGTGTACTGACTTAGTACACAGGTTTTTGTGGTCTGAAGTGCAAAAGAAACTCTTGGGGATCTTTTTGTATATATATAGTGCTATGTGTTCTTCAGATTGCTACTATTGTTGCTTGATGTAATGAGAACTGTATTAAGACTGTCATTGGACTTTAATTAGCAACAACTGTTGCACAAATGGCAGGTCCGCATCCGTCCGAAAGAATAATCTTTCTGGGGCTTGAACTGTGAAGGGAACAATATTTATCAAGACCTATTTCAAAAAAATATTTATCAAGATGACCTCGCTGGGAAACTATACCACTGACAGCACCAATGGACATTCAAATATCCTTAGACATGAAAAATGTGATGCTTATTTACTTATCCATCTAGAAACTGCTCTTGGTGAAGGCTTTCGAACTTTCTTGTATTCTTTGGGTCTTGCCTACTGCTTTATTGGATTGTCAGCTATAACTGCTCGGTTTTTCCGATCCATGGAGAGTGTTGTTAAGCATAGTCGGACTGTAGAGATGATAGATCCTCTCACAAACACAAAAGTTGTCAAAAATGAAAAGGTGTGGAATTACACAATTGCAGACATCACTCTACTGGCATTTGGGACTAGCTTTCCACAGATCTCGCTAGCTACAATTGATGCAATACGAAATATTGGAAAATTATATGCTGGAGGTTTGTTGAGGATTTTCTTCTCTGCATTCAGAATCCTGACTTAGTTTGTGTTATAATTTTTCTTCTTATTCATAATACGACGTAAGAAAGCGTAGCATCAAATTTTCAGATTCCTCTCTTCTTCATAATTTTTAGTTTGTGTTACAATTTTTCCTTTTCTTGAGGGTTGCCATATAATTATATGCTCGTTTAAGAAAGCATGGCATCAAACTTTCAGTTTCCTCTTCTCCTAAATTTTAAATGTAGCTAGCCAAACTTTTCTAGTTGTAATGAATACTAAAGTGAGCCATTGATGTTGTGTGTTTAGACTGTCTTATGATGTCTGGGAAAGATGCACTTTGAGAGATATTTGTCCCCACTTATTGTGCTTGTGGTGATCTCCTCTTGGACATTGTTGAGTGAAGGAGGCGAATAAACGACAAGCCACAACTACAAGATGTCAGGAAGTATTCCTCACCAATGATGTCCCTACACTCTCCCGCCCTCTGTTAAGGAACCTTAAGACTTGACAATGAAATAGTTGACCTTCTAATGATTTTATCTTTGAGTAACTCTCAATATTATTGAGTTCACTAAGGATATTGATTTTTACAGAGTAAAATAGACCTTTATCTTTTAAAAATTTTCTTGTGCATATATTAGTGGTTACTAGTTAATATGTTTTTCACCCCATGATGTTAGTCTCTGAAGTCATGGAGTACAAATATATTCCATTTTGACCACTAAAATAGAAAACACCAAATATTAATGTCTGCAACCTGTGAATGACAATGAGTTACTGGAACCTTAAGAAATGCTGAGATAATGACTATGAAATCAATAGTTGATTGGTTAATATTTATATAAAAAATTTAATATGTTGATATACTTTGTATTATGGCCAGTATTATATATAGTTCCATGAGTTATCTTTTCCCTTTTTCTTTTCTCTTTTGAGAAGATAGAATGTGAGAATCTAATTTCCGTTGGAAAAATTTGCTCGTACCTGTTGTTATAACATTTATGTATAATGTATCATTTCTACTAGATACCAGAAAATTTCCTGAATCTTGGACACCCGTTGTCTTGCTAATACACCCTTGCTACTATTTGACTTGTCCAGGTTTAGGTCCGGGAACACTCGTTGGATCTGCTGCTTTCGATCTATTTCCAATACATGCTGTTTGTGTGGTGGTTCCTAAAGCTGGAGAATTGAAGAAGATATCAGATATTGGAGTCTGGCTTGTTGAGCTCTTTTGGTCCTTTTGGGCCTACATCTGGCTGTATATAATTTTAGAGGTTATCTGCTCACATTTTTTCCATGTACATATGCTTCATTTAAATTCATCTATTTTGTTGACTCTTTCTTTTTGATGAGTAGTTTTGGTTTTGACTCTTACCTAGCGGCTAGCACAAGGTTTTTTCTATGTTAATCTTTCTCTGAAAGAAGTCTTCTAGTTTGTTGTCTTTTTTTCTTGATAACCGTGGTGTCTGGGCCGCCTTTGAGACCTCATGGTGCTCACAACTTACTTCTAGTTTGTTCATCTTCTTTCACTGCTTTGGGAACATAAATGATATGCAGTCCTGACTAATCATCCTGGTAGTAGGGTGTGCTTGATTAACTTAATTTGAGGATTATTGTATTACCCAACTATTGGATTAATCTAAATCATCAAGCTGCTACTTATCAATACTTAATGCTGCTGGAAACCTATAAACATGCCTTTTTCTCTAGTTACATCATATGGTATGACATAATCATTGAGTTCTTTGAAAATTAGAGAAAGATTATCATCATAGTTTCTACTTGTGAAAGCTTGCTGACAAGCATCATGCATTTGCTAACAAGCATAACGTAAAACTTTCTTTGATGTCTTTTGCTTCATTTATTCTTTGAATCTAATCACTAATGCCACTTTGGAAGCATACATGCATGTTGATTAATATATGACATTCTAAAGACTTTCTCCACATGTATGAAAGGGAGGACCATACAAGATATTTTAGTGAACTTGTGGATAAATGTTAATTCACTACCGTATTTCTATTTCAAATCTGCTTTGAATTGTTTTACTTGAGCCGTGGGTCTTTTAGATGTAGCCTCCCTGTCTTGACAAGGCTGGGTAAGGTCTGTGTACACACCACTCTCCCTAGACCCCACTTGTGGGTATACACCGAGTATATTGTTGTTGTTGTAGATAAATGTTAATCATGAATAATAAATTTGTATGACCTTGAAACTCATTTTCTTCTACATCAAGACTAGGAAACTGATGATTAAATATCTTTCTGAAAAGAAAAACTGATGATAAAATATTGCATTTTTCCTCATTGATGAAATGTGAATAGTCCAGTAATGAAATAATACGTGTCTTAGGCCTCTTTCACTTCTTGACAATAAAAGACTCTGTTATTAACATCTTGTTTATGGACATAATTGACTTTGTAGGTGTGGAGTCCAGAGGTTTTGTATCTTTATGGGAGTCTATTTACCAGTGTTTTAATTTGAGCTATCAGATTTACCTTATTGATGAAATGTGAATGATGTGATAATGAAAATGTAAATGTCTTAGTCCTCTTTTACTTCTTCACAGCAAAACAAGTATTCAGTTAACGATATCATATTCCTGAATATTATTTACCTTGTAGGTGTGGACTCCAAACGTTGTAACTTTGTGGGAGTCTATCTTAACAGTGTTGCAATTTGGGCTATTGCTGATACATGCCTATGCACAGGACAAACGTTGGCCCTATTTGTCCCTTCCTATGTATGTATTATGTTTATTATCATAAATTTGTAGTGTCTCCATTCTCTAGTTGAAGTTTGTTTCAGATTTTTTTTATTTTCTGTTGAGTTTCCCACATCTCTATTAAGGGATGGGAAGATCTCTTTGTATCCTCACTTCTTGAGCTAACTTTTGGGGTTGAGTTAGGTCCCTGATCCATTTTTTTAATCCTGGAATCAGAGCTATGCCCATCCCAAATTCTTGTTTACCGATGTTGGGCCCTATATTATGTTGTCCACACTCCAGTTGGCAGGCCTGGGCGTGCGAAGGGGTAATGAGTTTCCCACATTGATTTTAAGGGATGGGAAGGTCTCTTTATGGTCTTGGGCAATTCTCACCTCTTGATCTAGCTTTTAGGATTGAGTTAGGCCTAAGGTCGATTTTCTTTATAATTTTCTCATACGGGAAGATGATCTAATTTGTGCATTGTATACTTTCTACCATTTAGAGAAAGAGCTGAGAGGCCAGAGGAGTGGGTGCCTGCTGAGGTTGTTAAATATAGGCCTCTTGACAAGGTTCATGAGCCACACTCGGAAGTATCTCAAGTTGGTGAAGAAGAAAATAGCGGAATTGTTGATATATTCTCCATTCATTCAGGAGAGGGGACAGGTAATTTCAATAAAGTGATGCGTTGTTTTACCTGGGATATCCAGGTCTTCCCAGTTTATGTGATACAATTTCACTAGGTACAACGTTTTGAAAGCTAATCTGAAATCTGTTTATATTAGTTAGAGTAAATGAAAATATTGAAGTGATTTGAGAAGTTAGTTTGATTAGGAGAGCATTATATGACAGTTACTTGAATTTTAGTTCTTGAAAAGAAATTTAATGTTGTATAGGATATTATTATTTGCAGAAATGCATCACATTTTGGGACTTTCTAAATTTGAGAAGTGTTTGAATGGAGGGGTTATTATAATTAGTATTAGTGTTAAGTTTTGCTTCTCTTAAGGATTTGCAATATAAGTGTAGTAGAATTATAAGGTGCACTTGATAAAAGGGCGGAATGTTATATGCGTCAATTGGTGTTACATGTGCAAGGAGGTGGGTGGAGGACGTGGATTATCTTATTCTACATTGTGGGTTTAATATGAGGTTATGGTGGGATATGTTTAGGGGGTTTGACACTCCATGAGTAATGCCAAAAACTGTGAAGGACTTGTTGTTTGGTTGGAAGAGTGGGAGAAGGAGGAGAAGACGAAGGGCTTGGAATGTGGTTCCACTTGCTTTAATGTGGGAAGTTTGGCAAGAGAGAAATAGGAGAGCTTTTGAAGGATTAGAGTAGAGTTTCTCTCAGTTGAGGAGTAGTCCTCCGTTCCCTTAATTTCTTTGGTGCACACAAGAAGTTCCTTGTTGTATAGATGATTGGGTAGAGTTTGTAGAGAATCATTTCTCTTTGTAGATTATTCTCCTTTTAGTATACCCCATGTATACAGCCAGTTTATGAATGAAAAGCTATTTACTTGATAAAAAAAGGTGCACTCGTAAAGAGATTTCTAGGAAAAGTTTCAAGTAAAATGCAGACAGACAAGCGCTTAAAATGAACAAGATGAAATTTCATTGCTGGGAGAGTAATAGATAATGATATTTCTATGCTGGTTATCAATTTGAAACATTGAGAAAAAAAGATTTAATCTTCTCTCTGCAAGTAGCTTTGGTCTGACATTTCTTTTGGAACAACAGGTCATTTTTATCGAAACTTAGCAGGTGAAGATGTCACTGAATCGTCCACGCTGAATAATGGCAATATCATTCCTGAAGAATCTGATATCCTCTCAATTTGGAAGCATCAATTTGTGGATGCTCTCATGGTACTGTTTTCTTAGACCGTGTTAATATGTTTCTTTATTTTATCTCACAGTGGCTGAGATATTATTCTGATATAAACTGTCATGTGTATATGTTACAGTTAAATAATTCTCGCTTTCTATAGCTACCACAACTCCTTTACTAAATGTAGACCGGATAATTACTCCATTCTACCTGATATGTGCTTGTCCTAGTTTAATTTAGGTTTTAAATAATGCCCATTGTTATCAAAAGCTAAAAATGCAAAAGACCTCTAAGGTCCATTGGGGTTTAAGCACAAAGTGCAAATAAAGTGTGGGCTTTAGTGAAATAATGTGCAAATGGAAAAAATATACAAATATATATGTTTAGTCCAAGACTAATTGTAAGCATGAATAACAAATATATGGACAAAAAATTGAAAAAATAAATTATGATAAAGAAAAATATCAATTATTTAGTGTCTCCTCAGGAGATGCTCATTGGCAAGAAAAAGTATGTCTTGGAGCCTTGATGACGACACTAAAGCGCACATTAAGCGAGGAAAAACACTGGAACATGTTTAGCACCTCACTTCAGGGCGTAAGCGCATCTTTGACAGCACTAACTTGAAATGACTTTCCAATGATGCTGTGTTTTCTTTTTTTTGGTAAATAAATATTTATTTATTACCAGTGAAGAATTACAAAGCAGGGAAAGAAAAAAAAACTGAAGGTTACATTCCAACCTTCAGTTGAGTAGCTATACACACTTTCTAGATTACCTAGTGAGACTCTAAACTTGCTTAGAGATAGCAATTATATAGGGTAAAAGTTTAAAGTCCTCAACTTTCTTTCAACACTTGTCTTGAGATTTCCCCTATAGCAGACCTTTTGTATCACTATTTTAATCACCTCAGTAGGGTCTCTATATCTCCTTGGAAACTGTCTAAGATTCCTTTCCTTCCACAGGTGGTAAACACAACCAGTAGCTACCATTCTATATATTTCAGCTTCAGGGCTTTTCCCTTTCCAGGTTATCATCCATGCCAATTCCTGTTTCCATCTAAGAGGTTGTCTATCAATACCTCTCCATTCCAATAATTTCCTCCAAGCATATGAAGAGTAAGGACATATAAAGAACAGGTGGTCCATGCTTTCTCTTCCTGTGAAACACAATGGACAGTCTTGATTGTTGATGATTCCCCATTTAGTAAGTCTATCCTTAGTATATAGTCTCTCCAATGCAGTCATTCTGAAAATAAATAGCCACTTTGGTGCTCCAAAATTATTACACACTAATTTCCTCCATGAAGCTTTAGGAAAAGATCCATGTAACTCCTTGTGAAACTTCTGAATAGTGAATTCATGCATAGATAGATACTGGTCATAATCATAGCTAATGGATTCATAGTATTTTTTACTCTTGAAAATCTTCCTTAGCAACCAGGATGCTTGTTTTGGCTCAGTGGACCAAATTGACTGGTTTTTTATGTAGCAGCAATGCACCCATCTCACCCAAAGCTTATCCTTTTTGTGACTGAGGTTCCAAAGCTACTTAGCAATAGCTGCCTTATTCCATTTCTCAACATCCATTAGATTTAGTTCCCCAGCAACTTTTGGTTTACATAAATGTTCCCAAGCTATAGGTGCCTTCTTGCTATCTTCTGCTTTACCAGTCCGCAAAATCTTTCTGCAAACAGTAGTAATCATAGTGATCACCTTCTTTGGGAGTACAAAAATCTGAGACCAATAAGTTTGTACTGAAAACAAGACACTTTTGATTAGTTGTACTCTACCAGCGTATGTCAATATTTTTGTTGTCCAAGCAGTGATCGTACCCAACATCTTGTCCATCAACGATGTTGTGTTTAGTTACTACTCAATGTTCATGAACTTAAGTAGGCATGAAAATGGGGTGGATGTGTAAAGCTTAGAACTACTATAATGCTGTTCCTTTGATAGTTTTTGTGAGAAATATAGGAAAAGAATATTATTGAATTGTTGTTGTAATAATTACATAGAGAACCCTATTTATAGACACTATATAATACAATTCCTTACCAAATAAGAGACTATAAACTATTCCTAGTTTGTGTAGGATTGTGTTTTCCTATTCTATTCTAACACTCCCCCTCAAGCTGGTGCATACAAATTATATGTACCTAGCTTGTTACAAATGTAATTAATACGAGGACCGGTAAGAGACTTGGTGAAGATATCTGCAAGTTGATCATTTGACTTCACAAATTTGGTAACAATATCTCCTGAGAGTATCTTTTCTCTTACAAAGTGACAATCAATCTCAATGTGCTTAGTCCTCTCATGAAACACTGGATTTGATGCGATATGAAGGGCCGCTTGATTATCACACACAAGTTCCATATGACCGGTTTCTCCAAACTTCAGTTCTCCAAGCAACTGTTTGATCCAAACTAGCTCACAAGTTGCTACAGCCATTGCACAATATTCTGCTTCTGCACTGGATCGAGCAACCACACTTTGTTTCTTACTCTTCCATGACACCAAATTACCTCCAACTAAGACACAATATCCGGATGTAGAACGTCTATCAAAGGGTGATCCTGCCCAATCAGCGTCTGTATATCCGGTGATATGCTCATGGCCTTGATCCTCGAAGAGTAGTCCTTTACCAGGAGCTGACTTTATATATCGCAGAATACGAACAACTGCATCCCAATGACTATCACAAGGAGAAGTCATAAACTGACTTACAACACTCACAGGAAAAGAGATGTCCGGTCTAGTCACAGTGAGGTAATTCAACTTTCCAACCAACCGTCTATACCTTTCAGGATTACTGAGTTGCTCCCCCTGTCCTGGAAGGAGTTTAACATTCGGATCCATAGGAGTGTCAATGGGTTTACATCCCATCATTCTTGTCTCCTCAAGAATGTCTAAAGCATACTTGCGTTGAGAAATAACAATACCTGATCTAGACTGAGCAACCTCAATACCAAGAAAATACTTCAATCTGCCAAGGTCTTTAGTTTGGAAATGCTGAAAGAGATACTGCTTCAAATTAGCGATACCAACTTGATCATTGCCGGTGATAACGATATCATCAACGTAAACAACCAAATAAATACACAGATTTGGTGCTGAATGCCGATAAAACACAGAGTGATCAGCGCCACTACGAGTCATGCCAAACTTCTGAATTACTGTGCTGAACTTTCCAAACCAAGCTCGAGGAGACTGTTTTAGACCATATAGTGACCGACGCAATCGACATACAAGGCTTCTAGACTCCCCCTGAGCAACAAAACCAGGTGGTTGCTCCATATAGACTTCTTCCTCAAGATCACCATGCAGAAAAGCATTCTTAATGTCCAACTGATGAAGAGGCCAATGACGAACGGCCGCCATAGATAGAAAAAGACGGACTGATGCTATTTTGGCCACAGGAGCGAAAGTGTCACTATAATCTAGCCCAAATATCTGAGTATACCCTTTAGCAACAAGGCGAGCCTTAAGCCGATCGACTTGACCATCTGGACCAATTTTGACCGCATAAACCCAACGACAACCAACAGTAGACTTACCTGTAGGAAGGGAAACAAGCTCCCAAGTACCACTCGAATGTAAAGCAGACATCTCATCAATCATAGCCTGCCTCCATCCAGAATGAGAAAGTGCTTCTCCTGTAGTCTTAGGGATGGAAATAGAGGACAAAGATGATACAAAGGCATAATGGGGTGAAGATAAACGATGATAACTCAAGAAAGTATAATGGGGATTAGTATTTCGAGTAGATCGTATACCTTTTTGAAGTGCAATCGATTGGCTAGCAGGGGGCAAGGCCACAGTAGGAGCAGGGTCCAGCGCATGACATGAATCATTTGAGACTATTGCTGGACGAGGACGTCGATGATAAGTTAGGAGTGGTGGCACTATAACTGGAGATGGAGAAGATACCGTAGGTCCCTCAAAAGTCGGTACAGGTAAGACCTGAGGTATGGGTAAGACCTCAGAGATATCAAGATGATCAGAAGATGTGTAGTAAGGTTGAGATTCAAAGAATGTTACATCGGCAGACATAAAATATCGGCGGAGATCATGTGAATAGCAACGATACCCTTTTTGAACTCGAGAGTAACCAAGAAAGACACATTTAAGAGCACGAGGGGCTAATTTATCTTTTCCTGGAGCTAAGTTATGAACAAAGCATGTGCTCCCAAATACACGAGGAGGGATAGAATAGAGATGTGACTGTGGATATAGTATGGAATGTGGAACCTGATTCGAAATAGAAGATGAGGGCATTCTATTAATTAAATAGCAAGATGAAAGGACTGCATCACCCCAAAAATGCAACGGAACATGGGATTCAATGAGGAGAGTGCGAGCAGTCTCAATGAGATGCCTATTCTTTCTTTCCGCTACACCATTTTGTTGAGGAGTGTATGGACAAGATGTTTGGTGAATAATTCCTTGGTGAGACATAAACTCCTGAAACTGGGATGATAAATATTCTAAGGCATTATCACTACGAAAAGTACGAATAGAAACACCAAACTGATTTTTTATTTCAGCAAAGAAACTTTTGAATATAGAAAATAACTCAGAACGATCTTTCATTAAGAAAACCCAAGTACATCTCGAATAATCATCAATGAAACTAACAAAATAACGAAATCCTAAGGTGGAACTGACTCTACTAGGACCCCAAACATCAGAATGAACTAATGAAAAATAGACTCTGAACGACCCTCAGTACCACGTGAAAATGTGGCACGAGTGTGTTTCCCAAGTTGACACGACTCACAATCTAATTTGGACAAACTAGATAAACTAGGCACCATCTGTTGCAGTTTAGATAGACTCGGATGTCCCAAACGTTTGTGAATGAGGTCCGGAGGATCTGTAATAGAGCATGCTGTGAAGGAATTTGAAGAGGTAAGATAGTAAAGGCCTTGTGATTCATGTCCTGTGCCAATCGTCTGTCCCGTACTGCGGTCCTGCATGAGAAAAAAATCATCAAAAAAGGTTATGCCACAATGTAGGGCACGTGTCAAACGACTAACAGATGCTAGATTAAAAGGGGAACCAGGGACATAAAGAACAGAGTCTAGAGTGACAGAAGATAAGGGTGTGGCCTTTCCAACCCCTTTTGGTTTTGTTTGTATCCCATTGGCCAAAGTAATAGCAGGAAGAGATTGTGAATAAACAATATCTGACAGAAGTGATTTGTTACCAGAAACATGATTAGAAGCGCCCGAGTCCATGACCCATGAGTATTAGACTGTGAAACACAAGCAAAAGAATTACCCGCAACAGCATCATGTTGAACAACCGAAGCTACTTGTGGAGACATTTGCTTACTTGCTTGATATTGAAGGAACTCATCATATTCTGATTGAGCAATATGAGCATTATGGGATGGTCGATCAGGCGGAGCAACAAATGCTTCTTGTGAAGATGTATGCTTACTTGCACGATTACGAAGGAACTCATTATATTCCTTTAGAGTAGCAGGATCATAACTGGGTGGTGGACCATGCAAATTATGACATATGTCACGAGTGTGTCCAGACTTATGACAATAACTACACTTGGATCGAGGTTTTCCAAGACGACCTCCTCCTCGTCGATTCTCCATAGATTGATATACTCGTTTTTCTATAGTTTGAGATGCGAGAGCAGAGGAATCAAAGGTCGGTGATGAAACTACTTTGTGGCTAGGAGGCGCAGCAATACGAAGTAGACGAGAGAATAATTCATCAACTGTAGGAATTGTAGGACTAGCTAAAATCTGATCACGCACTGAATCATGGTCAGTAGAGAGTCCAGCAAGTGTAAGAACTAGAAACAACGTCTGTCTGTGTTCTTGTTGTTTGTCCACATTTTTAGTGATTGGCATCAACGTGTCAAATTCCTCCATGACTGATTGTACCTGACCCAAGTAAGTAGACATATCAGATTCTTGTTTCTTTAAGCTAGTCATTCTAGATATCACATCATAGAATCGAGATATATCATTAGTATATAAAGCACGAGCCTTTTCCCAAACTGAATAACATGTTTGGGATGAGCGAAACAAGGGCATCAACTTGGAATCGATAGATCGCCATAGGAGACTACATAATTGAGCATCAACCTTCTCCCATTGTGCTTTGACGTTATTATCTGTCTCACTAGCCTTTGCCTTTTCATCTACCACACAAGTATTGTTGGTTAAGTGATCATGAACGCCTTGCCCCTTGCACCATAACTCAACCGAGGAAGCCCAGGCTAAATAGTTTGAGCTTCCCATTAATGGTTCTGAAGTGATCATAGCACTTGAACTACCTATATTCTTGGAGCCAAAAATATCAATCCCTAAAGACATATTATGAATTTAGAGAGAGGAAAAAAAAAATAAAAAAAATAAGGCTGGTCCTGGTCAAAATCTGGAAAAAAAGGGTGCAGTCGCCGGAAATTAGGTCTGACTGCCCGAAACTGGTCGGAATAAGAAAATAAATATACAGTCTGCCTCGGAATGGAGAGGCGACCGCAATGAAAAAAAAATTGGTCGAAAAACTGGCCGGAACAGGTCTCACGCGCCGGCGCGTGGATCTGTCAACTCGCCGGAGAAATTCTTCCGGTGGCGTGTGACGGCGCGTGTAGCACTGGTTTCCAGCGGGGATGATTGGGGTTTGCTCGCCGGGAAGTTCCTCAGCTAGTGGTGATGTTAGTTTTTGAAAAACAGTGACGGAAAATATTAAATACCTGGACAGCCACTAGGTTACCGGAAAAAAAAAAAAAAAAAACTGTACGATTTTTTTTTTCTCTCACAATTGCTCTGATACCATGTGAGAAATATAGGAAAAGAATATTATTGAATTGTTGTTGTAATAATTACATAGAGAACCCTATTTATAGACACTATATAATACAATTCCTTACCAAATAGGAGACTATAAACTATTCCTAGTTTGTGTAGGATTGTGTTTTCCTATTCTATTCTAACAGTTTTATTCAAAATAATCTGACTTAAATTCAGATGTAACTCTTACGATTTGCAGTAACATTCCTGTCCTGTTCCACACCCACTACTTGATGGATTGATGGGGTTATTTGTAAATCTTTTCAGTTGGAAAGTGCGGAATCCAGAAAATTGAACAATATATACCTACGTGTTGCAAGAATTTTCTGGCAGTCACTTCTTCTACCATGGAAGCTTCTTTTTGCATTTGTGCCACCTTATCAGATTGCCCATGGGTGGATTGCTTTCATATGCTCTTTGATATTCATCAGTGGAATAGCTTATGTCGTGACAAAGATCACAGATTTGATAAGCTGTGTTACAGGTTTTTCACCCTTCAGATTATTAAGTGTTTTTTCAATGACCATAAATGTTCTTGCTCGAACTAAGAGAATACATTGTACACAATGTACCTGCAGGAATAAATCCTTACGTCATTGCGTTCACAGCTTTGGCAAGTGGAACCTCATGGCCTGATCTCGTGGCCAGCAAAATTGCTGCAGAACGACAGCTTACAGCCGACTCTGCCATTGCTAACATTACCTGCAGGTTCCTCGATCCGTCAACTATGCCCTTAACCTATTACATATTAAATTACTAGAAAGGAATTCCAAGTGTATAGAGATTTGGCAAATTGCTTTCATTGTTTTCAATTTTCATTTCCCCATTTTCCAAATCTCACCGAATAGCAATTTAGGCGGTATAGAAGTTCAAGTTTAGTTTTTGGCTTTTTGCCCCTATTAGCAAGGTAAAAGACTAAGGGGTTGTTTGGTTGGAGGGATTAGGAAAATGACTCCAGTGTGTCATTCCGAATAAAATAATATGATGTTTGGTTGGAGATCAGGAAGAAATGATCTCACCATAGCTAATTGCTACCTTTGGTTGGCCATATAAGAATATATAATCCGTGCATAATAACTTTATGACGTGTTTGGTTGGCTGTAGTAAACGATTCCCCCATTAAGTTATCTGTCCTTCGATGTATTATCTTGTGCATGATAAAGTGTGGAATAAGAATACGTGCATTAGCAGTACGGAGATGAACCAAACGACCCCTTAATACAATAGTTAGCCAATGCTTAGTAATTCACATAAGGTGCACGTATTTATTAACTTAATTTGTTAATCTCTCATAATCATTATGACAAAAATCAGAATGGTAGGAAATGTGAATTTGACATTGTCATTCCTTGGAACAAGATATCCTGGTGTCTGACTTAGTGTTTTTGTCCTTGTAGCAATTCGGTGAACATCTATATAGGCATTGGCGTACCCTGGCTAATCGATACACTGTACAACTACATTGCATACAACGAGCCATTGCGAATAGACAATGCAGAAGGACTAAGTTTCTCTCTGCTTGTTTTCTTCTCTACTTCTGTAGCCTGCATTGGTGTTTTGGTGTTTAGACGACTCACTATCGGTGCTGAGCTTGGCGGACCAAGAGTTTGGGCATGGGTGACTTGCATATTCTTCATGTTGTTATGGCTTATATTTGTTGTGCTATCTTCTCTCAGAGTTTCTGGTATTATATAACAATCTCAATCCAAATCATTCTTAGAAAGGGGTATTTTTTTTACTCGTTGTATCTATCGATGGATAGATATTGGTCTGAGACGGGCTTAAACGGCAATCTATGATCGATTCTGACTTGCTTGGGATTGATAGTAGTTGTTATTGTTGTATTGTATTGATTTATGGATATTGGACAGAGATGGGCTTAAATGGAGCGATAAGAACAGTGAAGATTTATATGGTCGATTTCAACTTGCTTAGGATCGATAATAGTTATTGTTGTATTGTAATGATCAATGTAATGTAGCCTTACACTCTTGCAAGTTGTATAATTGAAGCGACATGGACATAAAGTTTTATATGGATCAACTTCAACTTGCTTGGGATCCATAGTAGTTGTTATTGTTATATTGTAATGATCGATGTAAATAAAAGTTGTCAAACATTATTTACATACATAATATCTAGAGTAAACAAAACATATCATATCAGTTATTACAGGTTTATTATATTCTTTTTTTGCGCTGTTAGTATATATAATTCATATGTAATTAATAAGACAAATGGATAATTATGAATTAAACATAAGATTACCTATGTAAAGGAGAAAAAGATCAACTACCCACCATGTATAATAAATTTTTATTTAATTTAAAATGATAATATTTCATACTAATATTAATTTAATCTAATTCATGAAAAGAAAGAAATTATATTGTAGTACATATGCTGGCTGTTAGTATAGCAAGAGGGGCCCAAATCCAAATGAATAAACATATTCACAAGAATATTATCGTGTCTAATATTCTCTTCATTATTAATCACCGCATAATAATTCTTTCATTATTAATTACCGCATAATTAAGGGGCTTGTGGTTCTGCATACAAATTTTGGTAGAACCTAGTAGTTTTGGCTTGATCAGGTTCTAAATTGAGTTAAAAATTCACTTAATATATATATAAACAAATTTATCCATAACGCACTAAGCTATCTTAGCTATAATTCATAAACAAAAAACCCAATTCCACTTCTATGCATAACAATCCTTTCATGATTATCAGAGGTCTCAACTTCGAGTTTCTCTGGATATAAAAATTGCCTTTATCAAGAAGCGTTCTACCCCAATATAGAATTTTCTAGCACGAATTTGGATTTAGTCAAATTTTAATGCAGATATCAAACATCGGATTAAAAATCACAATAAAAATACAAATCCTTTCATGATTAATCTCCGCGTAAACAATTCATGTATTATTAGTATAGGATTTTTTTTATTTTTAAAGAACTTCTTTAGTAATCAACTTTAATCATTGGTATCTTGCCACTAATATACTCTATACTTCTAATTAAGTTGGGAGAATTAAGTTAGCTAACCTTACCATTATAAAAAAAGATTTATTAATTATCAACTAGAATGTTTATGAACATTATATATATGGCCAGAAGGGTTATACCTCTTTGTTAAGTTTTCCAGCTGTTTTTTAAAATTAAAAATATTTTATAGTTTATGTAATAGCTCGTTATAATATATCAATATAAGTTTGTGATCAAGTGATAAAATCTCGTTTATTTTTAATCAAAGTTCAGAGGGTCTGAGGTTCGAACCTTATTAAGTGCTAAGTATGAAATCGTTTTTTTGTTAAAAAGAGTGCTTTATCACCTAGTGTGAGACTACTTTTAGACACGATTCAAATTTAATCGAATCCCAATGCATATTAGACCTCGAATGAAAAACTTAAAGAAGAAAAAACTTGTTATAATTTAGGAATTCAGTTTACTTTTTTGGGTCAACTACTCACCATGTATCAAAAACTATATTAAAAGGAAAAATGATAATGTTTGATTTAACTTATTTTAATTTGATTGATTAAACTCTTGAAATAAAGAAGAAACATTTAACTTTGTGCATAATAATTTATATTATATGCTGGCCGTTTGCATAGCAAAGGGCCAAATAATTTAATCAATCCCAACCCTTTTTTTCTTAATTAAAATAAAATGTAGAATCCTCGATAGATAGCTGATAAGTTTTAAGTATTGAAATTAATTTTATAAATAAACAGTTGAAGGAAATACCAATGCACAAAGTTTAATAATAGATTATCTGTTTTATATTATAACAGTTTGGTGACATGATCGAATGATAAAGTATAGCACTGCAATATGTTTCCAATTCGAATTTGAATGCACGAAGTTTAATAATGCTTATATGCGTGAAAATGAAGGTAAATTATTGAACCAATAAGGATTTTAGTGAAGTGATTAGAAGTCTCAAATTCGAGTTTCTTTAAAAACGAAATCACTTTTATTAGGGAACACTTTATTTCCTAATATGAAATTTTCTGACTCGAAAAAGAGTTGATTAGTGGTCAAACAAAAGAGAAAAGTATCGACTAAGAAGTAGACAAGTTGCAGTTTGCTTCCAGAATTTTGAAAAGTAAGCAAAAGTTGCCACTATGCTACATAAATATTTGTATAACTATAAAATATTTTATTAAAAATAAAATAAAATAAGAAAGTGTGATATTTTTTTTAAACAGACTAAAATAAAAAATATTCCATATGTTGAAAATAGGGAGTAATCTTTTTTGTTTTGTTTGTTAAATAAAGTTTAGTGTATTTATTAGTTATGAATGGGGACGAGCTTAATTTTAACGAAGGAATATATTTAAATTAAAAGTAGAACATAAAAAATATATTAAAATTAAAAATTAAAATGGAAGATATAGTTAAATTATTTTTTATAGTACAAAATATATTTACCCTTTACCGTATAATAAATTTATCATTTTTGTTAAGTTAAAATAAATAGATAAAAACAGATGGAGAAAGTATAACTTAATTGTTTTAAGAATTGATAAATTTCAAATTTTGAATCGGTTATAGATGGCAACAACTAGATGTTGATTTGTAAGAAAGACCTTTTCACCTTCTTAGAACCCGATATTAATCCATCTCAATATGGTGAAAAAGTAATAGTCAAATATTCATATAGTTTGACTATCAACGATTTTTTTAAAATAAAACTATAATAAATATAAACTCATTCAATTATAAAATTACATGAAATGAGATAAATAGAAATATCCATGAGACTATTTTATCTCAACTTTCATATGAGTCAATAATTCTATCATTTTAATATAAATAAAATAATCTCGATATTACAAAGTTAATCCTGAATTTTAGCTCGAAATTATCATTCTTATCCATATATCAACCTATTTCATAAAGCTTAAATTCGATATCCAACTCCGATTAAGATGGCCCTTAGTGGCAACGAACGACCAGAGGAAAGACCTTTTCACCTTCTTAGAAGCCGTCATTAACGCGTCTCCATTACACGAACTCTAATAATAACTGGTAAATTTGACTTCTTCTTCCTCCAAAATTGTCTATAAATACCTCTCTTCCTCACACTATTTTTTTCATATCTAACATTTTCCTTCTTTCATTTATATAATATACACAGCTAAGAGTCGCAGCGACGCAAAGAGATTAAAAAAAAGTTCAAATTTGTTGCTGCGGAAGTAATTAAAGTTTCGATTTCTTCCGTTGCAACTTTAATTTAATTTTAATCTATTGATCGCTTCTATTCTTAGCAAAGATCATCAATTACAATGGCTCGTTATTTCTCCAACTGCAAAAATATCTCTGCTTTTGTTGTAGACTCTGTTTCTGTAGCTATTCAGAGGTAAACAAAGACATCATTTCTTTTTTCTCTATGTTTTGTTTTTCAAAGTTAAAAGAGGGGTTTATCTGAATTTCCTTCGTAAGATAAAGTTATATAAATTATTTCATTAAGAATTGATATTTTAAAGTTAAATTGTTACTTAATATAGAAATTGTGTCATTCTTTTTTAAACATATTAAAACAAAAAGTGAGTCATATAAATTTTGTATGATTCTTGGTTCTGTTTTTTTTCAAAATATATATCTTAATTTTACCCTTTATTATATACTTTTGGGATCATTTATATCATTGTCGTTAGTGTATTTGTTATTAATGTGTATATAAGAATGTTTTACGTTATTATATTTAAATTCTAAATTCGTCTCTGATTATGCAGGCGTGGATACGCGGCCGCATCACAAGGTGGTGTTTCTGGTAGTGTAAGAGGTAGTGGGGCTGTTAGAAGCAATGTGATGGAATCAAACAAGACTTCATGGGTGCCAGATCCTGTTACTGGTTATTACAGACCAGAAAGTCATGCTAAGGAAATTGATGCTGCTGAGCTTAGAAACATGTTGTTGAAGTACAAACCTAGACAAAATTGAAAAAAAACCAACAATTATAGGATCAAGAATCACGTCTCGAGGAATAGAGACGAATTCAGGATTTGAATGTTGGAGTTCAATAGTTATACTTTTGAAATTATGAGTTCAAAATGAATTGTTAGTGGAAATATAGTAATTTCTCACATATTATGTTTGTTTTCCGCATAGGAAAAATGTTGAGTTCAGTTGAATACGTTGGACATATATTACATATGTGTCGGGCAGATTTAGGACTCAAATGTTCAACGTTTATGTTTTTACCATTGAATTCATTGTACTTCTGAAAGTATGAGTTCAGGATGTAATGTTAGTGAAACTTATAGTAATTTTTTACATATATGTTTGTGTTTGGTAAAGAAAATAGTGATTTAATTGAACCTATTGCACCTATATTGCATCTGCCTTTGTTGATAGACAGAGGCAGATTTAGAATTCAAACGTTGAGTGTTTAGGTTTTCACTTCTAAATATATTATACTTTTGAAATTAATAATTTAGAATATAATATTAGTGAAATAGATAATAATTTTTCACATAGATATATATTATTTATGTGTCTAAAGAATTATTGAATTCGTTGAATCTATATTACTTTGATCTATTATCACTTTTGATTTGATGATTTCTAGTATTTTTTGTTCTCAAAGTTAGGTGAAAAAAATCGTTGAAATTGGTCTTGGTTAAATACACGGCAAGCAAGAGTAACTGACATATGTACACTGCATTCCCATTGCTCACACAAAATCGGTTGGTTCGTGTTTCGATTATTTTATCAGATATTTACTATTTCTTAGTAGTACTGTAATCAAATAATTTTGTTTATTAAAGTTTAAGTAGATGAAAACAAACTAACTAGTATTATCTTTGTTGGGATTGATCATAATTTTCAAATACCTAAAAAATTTCACAAGTGATATCAATATTTTTTTTAAAACAACAAAAATTACTCAAATAAACATCATATTTACTTTTTATCGGTTTGGGTAATACTTAAGGCCTTGTCTCATTGGTTTAATTTAATTTTATGCTTGAAGAGGTTCACTTTATGTTTTAACCTTTATTAATTATAAAAAAAATTAAGATGAATAGTATGTCACGTAACATTGCTTTGTCCTACGTGCATCTACCTCGATTTTCAAATTCATTTTTATTGAATATTATGTCACATCCAGATTAGAACAGATGTAACAAGGACATGTCACAACATTGAATGATTCTTATGCATAATTAGTTGAAATAGTAGTGCATCTTCCAATTACTTAAATTATGGTTGCACCTATCACTTTCTTGAATTTGGACAGACGTGTTATAAAAAATAATACATAAACCCCTCATTATTTGACGATCGTCCAGTTTCTATTGAAGGCAACACTAAAACACCTTCAGACGATAGATAAGACTTAAGCGGAGGAAAAAAGGTTTTTCTGTGTCTGAATAAGTGATTGTCTGCTAATAAACAAAAAAAATATCTATCTTTTTGCTAAACATGATGAATTGAATAGATTACTATATTAAACAATTTTAGCTTGTATATGTTAACAATATGAAATACTCCACTTTTATATTCCCTTATAAATAAAAAAAACATATGTGAAATTAGTATTCTGCAAAATAAAGCACGTAACCTGCTATAAAGTTTAAACTATATATGCCTATATTATAAATCCGTATTAACTAATCCAATGTCAGAATGAATGGCCAGAAATTAATAGCACTCAATAATGATCATTCTTGGCTATTAATTAATTAATCTTTTGCCTAATCATCTTCTTGTGTATAAATTAAATTAGTTGAAACAATGGATGTGTATTCAATTACTTTAATATTAGCTTATAGTGCAAATAACTTGAACTCGAAACTTCTAATTAGACATGAAAATGAATATGTACTTACCACCTACTTCGAGATCCAACTAATTCGGGTTGATCACGCTGAATGAAGTGAAACACTCTTGATCAAAGACCACTTTATTAGCAAGTTCAAATTTGCAACTTTTATTCAAAAATTGAATGAATACTTATTACTTCATTACAATCTTCGATATTACGTCAAAATAGGAAAACACCACTTGTTTTCCTCTATGATATTGATAAGAATTTCCATATAACTTTTCTAGTTCTAGTCATACTATAATAGTGCGGAAAAGTGTTAAATAAGACGATACCTAAATTGACATGTCATCACAAAACTATATATACTTCCTCTATTCATTTTATTTGTCATATTTTTTTTCACCAAAAAGGTATTGTATTAACTTTATTTTGAATCAGTTACTTTAATAAGCACGATAACTATAGTGGGTCGGAGAGAGTAGTTTATCTTTCATTTTCATTGGTGGCGTGAGCTTTTTTGTGTGTGAGAGTGACAAGTGGAATTAATGATGAAAACAGATTCGTTGAACACAAATATACAACGAACACAACATGGAAAAACATTTACCATATGAATAAAAAAAATAGATAGTTGAACCATGACGTGCACAACTTGTCCACAATAATCCAAATTATAATATCTAGAATATTAGACACTTAATTATTGTTGTTTCTTGTACTCTGCTAACACTAATTAATACTAGTGATTTTTTTTTACTTGTCTAAGTCTAATGACCAAAGTTATCTGATATCAGTTCTACTGATAAGAGGTAGCAAGTATTACATAAAATTAATTAAAGTACATGAAAATTAACTCAAACCTACAATTATCAACAAACACGTATTTGAGCTTTAAATCAAGATTCATCAATCGCAAGTCTAAATAAAAGAAGAAAGTTATAATAGGTCAAACTAGTGTGAAAACAGTTTAATTAAACTACTACGAATTCCTTAAATCTTGTACATACAACTATTTGTAATTAATTAGAATTAAGGCGTAATTAATTAATCGATAATTGAAGATGCAATGAAGAGAAATAGTGACAGATAGCTTTTATCGTGCCCACTACTATAGTCTGGTATATTATTATATTAGCGTTATTGGTTCTTATAGAAAAAAGACAAAATGCATTGCTTATATTTTTATTTATGTTATATGAAGAAAATAGATGATGCACGTTACGTTTTGTCCTAATTCCCCTAACTTTTAGCTGTAGATATACTATCAAACAAAAATACCAACTTTTCCATGCACCAATATTAGCTCTAAGATAAAAGCAATAAAATAGCGTTGTAGCTAGATTCAAACTCAGGTCTCATGGGTGCTTCCTCTAGCTTGTACCAGCAGCACAATAGAAAACCTATACTCTTCATGGGTACACGATTAATTATATCCTAATTTATGTCCATTTCTCAAAATAGATATACACATATACACACGTGCACCACCACCCTATAGGTTGGTTCTGCCTCTGTATACAAGCTTGCTTATTCTTAAAATTCAAAAAGAAAAAAATTGAACCAACGACAAGTATGCATTATAGCATATGGTGCATATGCCAATTGAGGTTGGTAACCTCTCTAGCATGAAGTGTTTTCTTTACCTTCAAAGTGAATTTTCAATGAGGTAGTTCTGGAGCCCGATAGCACCAGAACTAAACTCGGTGACAAGAGTTGTAACAATAAACGATACTGCTTACACAAAATTCTGCGTACACCACTATTAGACTCAAGGAGGAAGACACACGAAGCTTTTAGCTTTGCCTAACATCCTCGTTAGCACAATACAATCCACATTTACAACGAGGGCATTTCTCAAAGCAACATCAATTTTGAATAGAAAGTATAGTTCTGGAATCCCATAGCCCCAGAACTAAACCCCGTGACAAGACGAGTTGTAACAATAAACAAACAGTACTATATGCATAAAATTATGTGTACACCACTGCAAGAGTACTCTATGAGGAAGACACGAGGAGCTTTTGCCTGAACTCCCCATCACCCTCGTTAACACAATGCAATCCACATTCACAACGAGGGCATTTGTCAAAGCACCTAATAGGAAAATTTGCAGAAGTAAATCCAACAGAGAATTGGAGATTGTCATCTCTTCTCCTAACCTCAACAATGTTAACCCATAGAAATACAACTTTAACAGTAACACCACTCAATTTCATTAGCCTCCCTTTTGATATAACTCCTTTTATCACAGGTTTATAATATAGCTCATATGAACTCAACATGAACTTACATGAGCCATTGAGATACGCCGAGAACTCGCCTGTTTTTGAGTTCAACTCATAGCCTATCACCCCTTTAGGAAGAATGCCAATTGGGAAGTCATAGTGTTGAAGCTCTTCATAGGCTGATGTCTTCTCATTGGCTGAAACAACAACAGAAAGGAAGAAGAGGAACAAGAATATGGTTGCTAAAGACATTTGTATTTCTTGAATTTGAAAGGAAAAAAAGTTAATGGTTTATAGATGATTAATTCAGGGGTAATGGCTTGTTAGTGTTAATTGCTTTGGCTAGTTGGCCACATGCAAATTGATTCTTACCAATTCTTTCTAAAGAGGAAGTTGCTAGGATAATGCCAATTGTTGTAAGAAATTCATGACTAAAGGACAAGACAAGTGCGCACATAAAACATACTTAACATGACTTATAAGCTTCCTTAATTACAATGTTTTTGAACAACAGTTATCCATCCCCAGACCCCACTTGTAGAATTATACGGAGTATGTTGTTGTTTCATAACGGTCAATGTCATGTTCAACTATTTCACCAAGTACCTACTACTTCCACCAGAACAAGTATTGCATAACTGGTTTTACTCTACCTCAAAATTCACCTTTTTCAGCCCATGTCCATAAGGTTTTTTCATACCAGTTCCTCTTACCTATACCACAGTTGAAACATTTAAGGAAAATTTGGTATCTTTCTGGTCAATAGTGGAGTACTGTCGACTCAGATAGCAGTGACCTAGATCTGTCTCCAGAGAAGGTATGAGGGTATTCTAAAAATTCGGAGATGGTTGTAGCATGAATCATTTAGCAACACATCTCCTAGAGAAGCGGTTGAACAACTGCGAGCCGGGCCACTATTTCCTGGAGAACAGCAGGAGACACAGATTCAATATAGTAACTAAAGTTCGTTTTCTGTGAAAACTTAAAGCAGATAGAAAAAATTACTTTAACATTTTATCTCTGTTCGGATTTGAACTCTTCCTTGAGGGATCAACCACAAACCAAAAAATGTGACCTAAACCCCGGACCTATCAGCAGAAAATGGAGATGACTTGCATTAAGCCAACTTTTCTCATCCTCAATTATTCTTCTTTACCAAACCAGCAATAATCATTTTGTTTTTGAATAATGAAGCAAGTGATGCGCCAACAACTATTCAATGAACAGGGAAAGGAAGATTTATATCAATGCAGATGAAATTACAAATAACACCAAAATTTTGGAGAAAACTACATAAAATCCTACAAATAGTAAAAAAGTTACAAATCCAGGAATATTATTGCCTTTACCACTCAATCAAGCATTCACAGTCATTAGAGAAGAAATTTCAAGGAGAAGGTGATCATAGTGAAAGTCATCATTGAGCTTAAAATTGAATGTGCAAGTATGGAGTTTGTTAATTTTACCAAGTCAATTTAATCTATATTGGTCCCCTCCCATACTCCACTTTTGTTGAGACCAAAAAACACACAGGGGCGAAGTCAGGATTTTTCACTGAGGGGGTGTCAAATATAAAGAAGTAAACACACAAAGAAGTCAAGTCAAGGGGATTGAGCATATAGTATATTACAACAGCAACATATACTCCTACCTCAAAGCTAGAGAAGATGTCTCCATGAACATATAGTATATTATACATTAAAAAATAAATTGACACCCCTTGGACAAGAGTGGCTCTGCCACTAAACACAAAAACGGTTGTAAGCGTCTAAAAGCAGATGCTGTTCGACTCCGACAAAGAAGAAAACCAAAAAATGGAAATTGTTGATTGACAGGTAAAAACACAAACTTCACCTGAATTACATGTATATTTAATGCAGCGATCAGCACCATCTTCCTTTTCATCTTTATCCATTTGAAGCCAACTCTATCCATGAAACTTTATACAACACATAACTGCAGTCTCAGTCACTATGATCCCGTTAGGTGAATGATACATACAGATCAAGCAACTAGAGTTGTGTGGGTAAATTCCAACTAGCACAAGAATTTACAACGACATTGCACAAATATCTGACATATGAACTGCGTATTAGAAAGATATGTTGTTGCCATCATCACAATCTTACAAAAGCGACTTGGCCTGCTTAACTTGCGCACCCTGCAAACATACAGAACTCCTCGGTTAGCTAAAGACCAATCTTTATTTATGTGTTACAACACTGACATTTTAAAAAAAAAAAAACTGGAACCCATTTTTGTGATCAGAACTTAGCTCCAAAAGAAAGCAATCAAAGGATGTTGGTCCACTAACGCGCATGCAGTTTTCTGATTCTGTAGTTAGGACCTACTAGCATATAGGTCTTATTTATTACTCCCTCCGTTTCAATTTGATTGTCCTGTTTTGACTTGGCATGGAGTTTAAGAAAGTATAGAAGATTTTTGTACCTTGTGGTCTTACATTAAAGATATGGAAAATGTACCAAAATGCCTTCTAATCTTGTGGTCTTAAGCATGTCATGTGGAAAGTTAAAATTAAAGAGTTGCCAAAACAGGAAATAGGCCTTCTTTTTTAAATGGGTAAAAAAAAAGGGAAGTAGGACAAATAATTTAAACCGGAGAGAGTATCAAATTGATCCTGTTGTCAGTTGTCAGCAACACGTGATGCAATTTGTCAAACAAATAGTGTTTGTGAATCCACTTTTTCGGAGTTGTTACATTTCAGTAGTTCAAACAAATAGTAGTTCAAGAAAATTAACATTTCTCACCAAAGAACTTCTCTTGGAAGCTCGTTCGACTAAGTATGCACAAGGCTTGAAAAACTCTCCATACTCCTTCGACCATTCTTCCAGTTTTGAACAAATATATTTTGAGCCAACAGAGTGAGACCAAAAAATTATGCCTCCCCTGATTTTCATCAACATATACAATAAGTGTATGAATCATTGCCATGGCAAAGATGACTTCTAAGCAAAAATACCTGTATCCGGGGAATCCCATACCCAAAACTGAAGCAACATCAAGATCAGAGGATTTCACTATAATTGCCTCTGATATCATGCGACATGCTTCATTCAGTACAGGGAAAAGAATCATCTCAACAATTTCTCCATCGGACAATGTTGCCAACTGTACCAAGTTGATTGTTCAGACGTGCACTAAGTCATAAATTGATAGATAGAAAGGAAGCATTCAACGACCTTTCCAAAAATATATTTTGTTCATATGATCTATGGTAAATGCATTATATGCGCTCCAACTACAATTTGAATCATTTATCAAATCTACAATCATGAAAGAAAGGATAGACAACAAATAAACACAGGTTGAACTGTTTGCAAGGGACCAATTAGAGGAAGAATCTATTTGTCTGTATAAAGAGGGGACATAAGCCCGGTGATGTGGCACGTCTCTTACATTAGAATGATCATTTATCTAGTTACTCTTCTTTTTTTTGGCATTTTACAAATTAAGAAGGCACCAATTAAGAATCCTGTATTTGATTACAAAAACAAACATCAAAATACACTTCCCTTCTCAAAAGTCGTGCCATTTCGAGAATTAACTGAATGATAAATAGTCTTAGTGTCATTATCGTTCTTTTTTTTATTCTTGTTGATTACCATATCTTGGTGTTCTGCTTTATGGTTATATCGTGAACATTATTTATGTGTTCTATTTTTTCCAAAGCCAAATAGTACATAGCAATAAGCCGCATACTTTCTTCAAGATAAGTTCAGTCGGAAGATTACTAGAGAACTTTCAATAGAAGGATCAAAAAGACAGTTAACAGAGAGAGAGAGAGAGAAGACCTTTGATTTAATGGTGATACCAGACATACTTCTCGCCATTTCTATATATTTTGATATTTCGGGATCTGGGCTTGCCTCTTCCTTGTCATTGTATGTGTAGAAGCCTTGGCAAGTGTATTTACCTAGTACACATTCCATTGGTGAGAAATTCAAGAAAATCTGATGACAAATACAATCCAGGTCCTGATGACAAGAAGTGTACATTACCTTCACGGTTATTTTTCCTCATGATTGGAATCAAATTTGATTTGTAAGATCTATCTGGAAAAGTCTCAAGGAATTTCACATCATGCACAGTTGCAGACTGGAATCCATCTTGATCAAGCATTCTGCAGTTGACATTGCCAACATCACCCAAAAGAAATGGAAGCAACAACAGAAGATGTCTTGCACTCCAAGTGGAACGATATAAGAAAAAATATGCTGAAGATCACATTCATCATTGGTGGATTATCCACATGAGAAATGTGTGTCATATAACCTTTATTTAGTATTTAAAGGAATAAGCTTCTCCTTCTGTATGATCAAATTTTGAATCAACATCCATTAGTTCTGGAACATTTTGGTAGCTGTATGTTAAACCATAAGGAAACTCATATTTCTTTTATTATGATTTCGACTGTATGGAGAAACTGAGGGTTCTACTGAAGAACACAACTCGATCAAATCAATTTCCGATTCATAGGATGTTGAATGGAACATGCACCTAAATGGACCCAATTTCAACCCAAAGCTGGTAAGCGCCTTATCAATCTGATACGCATCAGCACCATATTCAACAAGAAGCATCGCTGCCTGCAAGTAGGGGAAGCACATACGTCTGACTGCATAACCTGTACAATTCTGAACTACAATAGGAGTCTTTTGAATCCTCCTTCCAAAGTTCAACAGATCAACAAGCGTTTGAGGGGATGTCCTCTCTGTTCGGACAATTTCCAGGAGATCCGTGACAGAGGGTGAGCTGCAGCCAAGTAACAAGCAAGCCTTAACTCATTTGTATCAGCAGATATACTAGGATTGCTTGATTCACCTTTACCTAAAAAAGTGGATCCCAACAATCTCACTACATGGTTTCATCCTTTCTCCAATCAAATCTAAGTTGACTATACAAGTAGTTGAAGCAAAAATGCAGTGAGGAGGGCAACACTCATCCAGATCAGCAAAAAATTGTTGCTTCAAGGAGACAATGTCAGGCACGTCCTATTAATCAAGAAGAAGAAACAAATGAGAAGTCTGCATCTGAGTCAATCTGATGATCATTGTCATTTCTACAAGTAATCTGCAACAAACATGTATGGTTCCATTTTCTACTCAGTCTTTATGTATCTGGACAACTCGTCCATTTCAGCCTTTCGTGACTCATGATACTCTTGGAACGGCCATTTTTCATGATAAAACATTAACGTGACTACTAGACAAAGATTAACTCAATGTTAACACCCGAAAGGACTGGATAAAAGACTGCTTCTCAATACGAGATCAGGATGCAGTAAGCACAACTGCCTAGCTGATTTTTAGTTCCAAAGATAAGACAACATGCTGAGTTTTTTG